AAAAAAAGAGTGAGAGCTCCACGTATTACTCTTAACAATCTTTCATCGAGGTAAACTCGATCTCAAATCACGAGAACGTAAACACAAGCGTAAAAGATTCAGAAGAAGCACATTTTTCTTAACGGATATATGTAGTGAATGTCGAAGAACTTATGCATATATAACATGTAAAACAATGGAATTGGTTGGTCCAATAATAGTATTCCACCGGTGAAAGTAATAAATTTTCTTGTATACATACGAAACAAATGAACAAAAGAAGGATTCTTACTCCATTTCATATTCCTCTCTATTCGAATAAGTGTTGACCGGGCATATACACGATAATAACGTAATTGTACATTTGTCACTTGCATATGTACCAAAATCAAGATTATAAGGAAATACGACCATTTTTACCTGGATTTCGCACTTTATAAGACACGTACGCAGGCTTGTGACTTCAAACCTGAAAGGAAGGACCTTTTTTTCAGTTTGTGTTGAGAGAAATAATTCAAACAAATGGTATTATATATGTACCTCGTGAATGCATGCCAGTTTGTGGATGGGAGGCGAAATAGTGAAGTTTGGAAGGCCCTTTCAGCAAATTAGATCGATACAGGATTTTTTTGGCAGAATAAAGAGTCAACCTTCTTTGACCCCTTAATCTTTGGAAACACAACTGCACTTTGTCTTTGTTCCGAGAGAGAGAGTCAAAAGCATAATAAATACAAAAAGAAAATGCATGTGTTTTATGGTGCATGCGCAGCCGCGCATGATATGAGACGAGGGAGACAAAATTAGTTTATTTTGGTGGCATTTGGAATTTTAGACCTATATAATAATGTAATAGAAATCCATCATCATTTAATTAAAAGCATGGAAACATCTATAACTTTATTAAGTTATAATTAATATAGTTATAAACTGAAACCATAAAAGATAATTTGAGTTTGTGAGTGGATATGAATTAAAATGTAACAAATAAATTAAGTTAATATATATAATATAAAAGTAGTAAACTAATGAGTAGATAAATCATAAAAATTGTTGCACTACAAAAAAATTGTTATATTTCAAAGAAAAATTCTACAATAATATATTCTAATAAAAATTCCAATTAATAGTTGTATGTTAATGATTGGGGAAGAAAAAATACTTCTTTCTTGGAAGGGCTGGGCTCATAGAACAACCTAAATAAAAATAAAAGTGGCCGAATTTATTAGAATTCGTTCCGGAACATTCAGGTTTATTTCGGATCGTTCATGGATTCGCCATCTAATTGGGAGAAGCCCAAATATCCTAATTTAATGGGTTTGGCCAACCCAACAACACTTAATGTCTTGTTTAGTCATGTAATCAGTTTGTGAATAAAAAAGTGAACTAATTAAAGCCTCTCTAATGTCATGAATTGAAATGTTCTAAATAACATTATTTTGAGCAAGCAAGATAAAGCCATGGCCCACTAGTTAATTCCATGGCCTGTCAAATTTTCTAATTATGTAGCTTATTAAAATAAAAGCTTAAATTAAATTTTAGTCAAATTTCCGAAGTCTTGATTCGGATGGAATAAAATAGAAAAACTACCCTCTCTGTTTTTAGCTTTTCACCCTNNTGATTCATGGACGATGGCCTCGTTTAGCACATAGATCCTTATCTGTCAAAATTTTGTTTTCAATTTGAGTTTTACTTTAGTGCATTAAAAAGTTTTTTTGAATTAACTTTTGCGATTTTAAGGGTGTTTAGTTTCTGGGTATATTTTTAAGTTTTTTTAATGTTCCCTTTTAACATTATTAGTTATCTTTTTTTTCAAGAATCTTCATTATTTTGGTAGTTTACAATATTATTTTTTATTTAGTTTTAAAGAATAGGTTCGACCATAATTTGTTTGCCATGGAGTGTAAAGAAATTGTCAATTTACTTAAATGCACACTTGATTTGAAAAGATTATAATCATTTCTGAACTTTGAAGACTTGGATCCGTGCAAAGAATTGGTGCAATTATATCAAATTAACATCTCCAGTATTGCAAAATTTCCCAACTCATTAGAAACACGCACACATCACTACAACTTATGTAAACGAAAAATGAGTTAGTTTTGACAAGGCTAAAACAATTGTTGAAATGCAAACATAAGATTAAATTAACATGACATACATAAATAAGCAGAAATTAATAAAAATTTCAGAAATTATCACACATTATATTTGGGGGCAAATGGCAGCAAACAAAAATGTATAGCACCTGATTACATAAACAATTATACTCCCCGAAACTTCCATCAACACAATCCCCTCAAAACCAAATTTTACTACAAAATAAACTCTAATGCTTTGCACAATATGATGCTTGTTAATAAACACATAGTAATTCCTACACAAACCAATAATGCACTTCCAATGGTAACAACAAATTCAAAGTCCTCATGAAGGTAGCAAATCTTAGCCCTC